TTAATGTTTAATTATACTTACCTATGAGAATAAATAACTTAATAACTTAAAATGTGATAACTTTTCACAATTAAAATAAAATTAAAAACAAATATGGGAGGTCATTATCAAATTGATCATTTTTCTTTCATAGAAAAAAATGGTTTCGGAAGCGTGGAAGTACTTTAATAAAGTTGTGGTAAATGATAAGAAGTATGGAGATTGCAAAAAATGTCATAAAAGAATCGCTTGTCCAGGAAGCAGCACAAACGGCCTTATTGGACACGTCAAAAGTTGCGAGAAAATAGATTTGAAACCATTCAGTTCCAGACCAGTTTTGACTAAAATGTCATTAAACGATCTTCTTGCCAAGTTGACAGCTCTTGACGGGTATTCGATTAGGTCCATAACTCAATCTGAAACACTAAGAATGCTTTTTGAAAATTACGGGCATAGTTTGCCTAAGTCAGCGTCCGCAATTTCAGAAAAAATTAAGATGTTTCATGCTGAAGCCAAATACTTAATGATCGCTGAATTGGCTGCATTGAAAGCAAAAGGAGAAAAATTTGGACTAACAGGTGACGAATGGTGTAGCAATAGAGGTAGAAGATACTACAATTTAAATGTTCATCACGACAGAACGTATTGTTTAGGAATGATGAGATTGCCATCTCCTAGTTCTGCTGAAACATTAAACATTTTGATAATGGAAAAATTAAAAGAATTTGGTATAGATAGTGAAGATATTGCAGGTAAAACTACGGATGGCTGTAGTTGGATGGTGAAATTGGGTACCATATTTAAGTTTCCACATCAGATCTGCCAGAATCATTCAATTCATTTGAGTGTTTGTGATTTGATATACGCTAAAAAAGATTGTCGCAAAATTGTGAACAAAGAAACTGAATCGATTATTGAAACAGAAACAGAAACTGATGGAGAGTCTGAAGGAGAGTTTCTTATTGAATATTCGGAGAATGAGATTGAGTATGAAGAAAATATCGAAAAAAATCTACAGAAACTTCGAATACTAATTAAGTTTTTGAAATATTCATCGTTTCGATATGAAGTTCTTAAAAGAAAAATACACGAAATATACGGATCTTCGCATGACAAAGGACTGTTGTTCGACAACCGAACAAGATGGAACAGTGTTTTTAAGATGATTAAAAGATTTCTGGATTGCTTAGAAGCTGTAAAAAAAACACTCGAAGAGCTAAACTGCTTAAACATGTTAGCTGAAATTGACTTGGATTTCTTAAAATTGCTGTCTGACTTATTGGAAGTCGTTGCTGATGCTGCAGTTCGCTTGGAAAAACCAAATACAACAATTTTGGAGTGTGACATTATTATGGAAACGTTAGTAAGGAAATTGAAGGTTGCAGAAACTGACATCAGTTCTAATTTTGCAGAGACCTTAATCTCCAGATATGAAGATCGTAAAAACGTTATGTTGGTATCATTGAGTCGTTATTTGCACAATCCCGATTTTTTTAAAAATAAAAACCACACATTTTTTTATGCTTCCAAAAAAGATATTCAAATTTATGCTTCAAAATTATTTGATCAACTATTTGCAACAAAAGAAAATAGTCTCCAATCAAAATCAGATGATCACGCTAAAAACAAACAAGAAGAACCATCACAATTGACATCTTTTTTCTCCGAAATTCAAGAAGTTCTAATTCAAAATCAATCAGCAGCTAAAAAACCAAAAAAAGTCAAGACCTTCACCGATCAGTTGAAAGAATATGAAGAAACTGGTGTGAAATCAGAAACAGTTTTAAAATTTGAACTAGCCATCCACAGAATTCAAGCAACTTCCTCGGAAGCAGAAAGAGTTTTCTCCTCGTCTTCCAGATTTGTCACAAAGTTTCGTAGTTCGCTTTCTGATGAAATGATAGATGTTTTGATCTTTTTAAAATATTATTTAAAAAGATCTTCAGTATAAATACTTTTTTTTTCAAATTTTTTTTTTAATTTTTACTATAGGTGCCCCAACAAGTCTTTATTGCATAGCAACGCAGAAGGGCATTTAACTGAAAGTTCACGCCTTCTTCCTAACCGATGCCGGTTAGAAAGCCAATTATTAGATATAACTTGTTCGTTAAAAAATTGTGATAAAAAAAATATTTATGTACTAAGAAATATAAAAATATAAATTTTTTAAAATTTTATTATGAATTATAAATCGAAATATTTAAAATTAAAAAATAAAAATACAAGAACAATGTTTAATTATCAAATAGAGAGTTTAATTTTTTTATCAAATAGATAGTTTAATTTTTATAACAAAATACTATCGAAACTTTTTTCTCGATTTCTCTCGACTCCGTTTTTTCTCGATTTTGGATCCTTTGCAAGTGCCTTGCGGTAGTGAAAAAATTAAACCATAATATTGAACTATATATATATATATATATATATATATATATATATATATATATATATATATATATGTATAATTTTTTACTAAATCACAAATATTTTTTGTGATTTAGTAAAAAATTATGGAAATATTTAATTTTCTGATTGTAGTAGAAAAAATACTTTTATCTTTAAAAAAACAACAACAAAAAAATGCTATCTTAAAAAGATATTGCGACGACATCATATTTTTTTGTATGTATTTAGGTGCTCCCAGAAGTCCTTACGGTCTTATCATAGAGCACCGCGGAAGAGCATTTAACAGGAAGTTCACGCCTCCTTCCATACCAATGTCGCTTTTGGGCTAGAGCTGGCGTCGAACCTGGGACCTCTGGGTTCTGAGCCAGAACTCTAACCACTGCGCCACGGCTGCTGAAACTGTTATGAATTAAAACACATTGAATAAATTATCAAGTCTGCAGATTGCGACTAACATTATACAGACCCCGAGAACCAAAAAAAAAATGGAGGAGGCGAGCTTTGACTAAAACGTGAATTTTAATTTTGTTGGTATGCATTTATTACTTAGTTTCAATCAAAAACATTTAGCCCAAATGTTTTTTTTAAACATTTTCTTTAATATGAACACAACTTGTCTCGTTGTTGGGGATCCCTTTAAGTTAAAAAATGGCGAAGTTTGAAAGAGTGGCTTATCTATTACCGATTAACAAGAAAAATATTTTATTTCTTCTGCTTGCTTTTTCAAGATTCAGACGACAATTTCAGAAATGGATTGAATGACTGGACACACGGACTGCGTGTACAATGACGGGCACAAAGGCTTGAAATTACTACTCAAATATTAGAACCCTGACATTAAATTTATTCCTTGTGCAGGATATTCTTTAAATTTAATTGGCGTAAATGCTGTTGACAGCTAAGAGGCTGCATCTGATTTCTTTAGGTTTCTCCAATGCCTGTATAATTTTTGTGCTTCTTCAACTTACAGATGGCAGATAGTTTGTTCTGATCTTGTAAGTGGTGCTGGAAAGGACAGGAAAGTTACCATTAAAATCCTGAATGGGACAATGTGTCAGCAAGAGCCATTTTTACTAAGTTTTACATTCAAATTACAATCATACTCTTGAGACATTAGAATCAATTATTCTGGATAAAGATGAAAAACGTCAGACACAAAACAAAGCCACGTTTAAAAAAAAAAGGAAAACTTTGGATGCTGCTTTTATGACGGAGCTTTGGCACAGAATAATGTTATGATTTGATGCTGCTAGTATGAAACTTTAGGGTAAAACTGCAGATTTGCCTCTTGGTGTTCAATTGCTTAAACCTCTTTTTGAATATGTCACATCAGTTCATGAAAATTTTCTTGACATACAAGAAAGTACTAGAAGATTCTCAAGCATTCCTAATCATTACAATTGTGCCATCTACTAAAATTCATTCTCATGTTACTCGTCATTCAATTAGGTCTCATCCTTTTTCTGTGACTGTTCCTAAGTGCTCCAAAAACTCTTATTCATCTAGTTTTTTTCTTTGAACATCAGTTCTTCGGAATTCGCTTCCTTCATCTTGCTTTTCTGATTCATATAATCTGTAATCTTTTAAGTTGTCGGTCAATCGTTATCTTGCTCTACAATCTTCATCTATACTCTTACAGTAACTTCCAACACTAATTAGAGGTTGCTTGCAGCCTTGTTGAAAGCGAAGATGTTTAAAAAAAAAAAAAAGTACAAGCATGAAAACTTAAGAAAGAAGACATAAAGAAGATCATAGATAAGTTGGAAATGTGCTTGAAAGAAAGGCTTTTTGCTTGCGAGTTTAGAGAGTTTGGTTTTCTAACTAGGTTTCAGACCATGACCTTACCTGTCATTGTTGTTGCTGCCAAATCCTCATGCACTATTTAACCTTTAGACTTAGATACACAATTCACTGATGAAATTATCCAGTTTTCCAAGTTCATGGCAAATGAGAAGAATATATGAGTACTTGAATGTTTACAAGCAATTCATAGGAATAAGTTAGAATCGCATATCGCATTTTTCTTGCGCTTCCCATTACAAATTGTAGTGCAGAGAAAGCATTTTTAAAAATAGGAATAGTTAAAAATGATCTCTGTTCTTCAATGTTAAATGGTCATTTAAATGCTCTTTATTTAATGACAATTTAAAGAACACTGTTAAAAAATATAAATTTTCAAGATATCATAATTGATTTTGCAAATGTGTGCAAATGTGTGCAAGAAAAGTTTCTCTGTAAACAAAAAGTTATCTTATGTTTTTTGCATTCATTTTTAAATACATTTTTTTAGGAATGGAGCCTTAAATTTTTTTTGTTTCTGGCCCTCAACACCCTTAATCCGGCATTATTTTAATTTTTATTTATTATATATTTATGTTCATATCATTTATAGAAAAAATTATTTTAAAAAATTATTAAATTATAAAACAGAAATAGCAAAAACATATTGATATATTAATTAACTATAACAATTATTTAAAAAAAAAAACTAAAATATTTAAAAAATTAAAAATGATAAGCAAATGAGTAAAAAAAAAATGAGTAAAAAAAATGAGTAAAAAAATGAGTAAAAAAAAAAAAAAATTAAACTTATTAATGGCAAAAAAATAACCTACTTTAATATTCCATATGAAACCACCTTGTAACCAAAGTTCAGGGAAAACAGGAGGATGTGTCTTTTCTTTTTTCTTGGAGAATGGAAACCCTTAACAAAGAAAGTTTGACATTCAGTTTTAAAAATATTTAAATTATTTTATTTATAACAAAAACTTAAATACATACCAAACTTATTTGGTGGCTCTAGTGTTTGTGTAGACACTTTATTTGTTGCTAACTCCTTCAAATATTGATATCTTGTTCTTTTGTGCATGTGAGTAAATTTATCTGATTTATGAGCTGCATTCTCTCCATTAATTACTAAATTAATCAAATTTATATTTACTATTATATTTACTATTAAATTGAAAAAAATTGAAGAATTAATAAAAAACTAACATTTGCACAAAAGAAACTCTCTAAATGTAGCATTTTTTGAAAATTTCTCTTGAGGAATTGGAGGACCAAATGCAGGTACATCCATAGAACGACTTACTGCTACTCTGAAAATATAAAATAGCAACTTTGTGACATCAATAAAATTCATTGGGCAACAAAATATTTCAGCAAAAAAAAAAAAAAAAAAACAAACATAAAAAACAAACTATTACTCATATTTAGTGTACTCTGTGTGTGGGTTTTCAACTTTGACAATAACAAACACGTGTTGAAAATGGGATCTGATCATTTGTGGTGTAAAAGGTTTAGAACCAGGCTCTTGAAAAATCACTGTTACAATATCATTTCCAATATGACGTTTCCTCAGTAACTATATAAAAAATTACATTTCTTATGCAAATATATATATATATATATATATATATATATATATATATATATATATATATATATATATATATATATATGTATATATATATATACACATACACACACACTCTTGCTTGGTTATCTTTAATTTTTACCATAAAATGTAAACTTTTATTTTAAACATTAATGCTAATGCGTAAACATAACTATTTTTATAACGTATATTAGTATTAAAGTTATCGAGCACGACTATTTTCCAAACATGATAACTGTTGGTGCAGAAAAATATGTCTGGGCTTGACAACCTTTGAAAACTTTCAAAATATGCTTTGTTCAAAAAATAATTTTTTTCTATTCTAATGCACTTCATTTTCCCCTCAGGAATTCACTGCTTGTGTGTGACTATTCAGCAAAGAATATGCCAAAGTTTTTAAAAATAAATATACATTTAGAATTAAGGCAAACATTTATTTATAAAATTAAGGATTTAATGCTTATGTTTTTATCTGAATTTATATTTTTAGTTTCACAGGCTGTACAAAATTGTAATTTTTAACTTTAATTTAGGACTTAAAATGTTTTAAAATAAACTTAAAAGAAATATTAAAAAAATATATAAGCAGAGTGTTGAGCAAAACTGATAATTTTTTGTTATACTAGTTAACTAAAATGTTTAAGGTGCAGCAAATAGTTTTTTTTCTTAAATGAATGTTGACGTTTGTATCTTTATTTATTGACAAACGTCTAAGAGATATATGTCAAATAAGAGATATATGTCAAATAAAGGAATTTTAAGAGATATATGTCAAATAAAGGAATTAAGAGATATATGTCAAATAAAGGAATTTTATTTTTAATTTTTATTCTAGTTAAATAAGTTATTAGGTAAATCAACCATGCTTATTGAATTTAATAAATTTTTATATTTTCAAAACAATTTTTCACGCATTTGCAAAGTGCACATAAATTAATGATAATTAATATGCAATGACCTAATGATTGTAAACTGCTATTCATTGATACAAAATAGTGAATCTAGTTCAATAATTTATTTCCTAATAAAAAAAAGTATAAACTTGAAGAAATTAAAATAAAGAAACTAAAAATAAAATAAAAGTTGTTTTGACATTTCTTTTTTAAAACATTTAAAAATAATATCATATCAAGTATTTAATATTAAGTTAAAAAAAATATCATATTATTGGTGTATAATAGACCAATAACAGTATTTATAATATGCAAACAAACATTACTTCACTTTATGAAAAATAAGAAAATTAAAAAAAAAGCAAGGTATTGAAGAAAGCTATCATGTTTAAGCATGGCTTCTTTTAAAGTAATTGCAAATGCATTTATTTTAAGTAATAATTGTTTCGCATGCTTTTGTAAACGCAACTAAAAACCATGCTAAAATTCAACAGCGTACTTTGTTATTCAACAGCGTACTTTGTTATTTTAATTAAAAGCTTTTAAAAAAAGTAATCATTAGAATGGTTTTCTTTAAAGTCTTTGAAAGTGCAATTTGGAAACATTCTCATATGCACCATATAAAGAGAGCTAATGAAGACTTTGATATATAAAGAAATCATGAAAGCCTTTGATATATCAAAAGCACAAATATTGCTTGTTATTGCTTTTGAATTATTGGCTTAAAAGTTGAGACAAACACCCAGAAGAGACAATAATTTATTAGAGATATATCAGTTAGTAACACAAACGTTTTTCAAAAGTCTTTGAAAATTCTTTGATTAAAAATAAGAATCTGGAAATAATGGACTTTAGCATTAAACAATACTTTTTCCATCAATTTCTTGTAATGATCAAAAGAAACCTGAAACCAAAAGAAAGTTCTCAGGAAGCTGCTCTAGTGAGTATTACATAATTTTCAGCAGATAATTTATGAATTTTAAATTTATGAATTTATTTATTATGAAATTTAAGAGGTCGATGCATTAAGATATTAATTTTTCATTGTATACACAAAAAAAGAATTAACTTAATATTAACAAAAACATCGATCACAGACACAATTTTTTATCCAACTTACTTAATAGTTAAGAGAGGGTTGTAACCACAACTAAATTAGCCTCCTCGACTGTAGTGGCCTTTATGGCCTTGGGAAGTTGAATTCATATAAAATGAAATATTATCTTTCAGTTCTCCAATAAAGCCAATTTTTATTATTAAAAGAATTTTATGTTTTAAGGTTATTTTACTCATTAAAGCCAATATGTTTATTATAGAAAAAAAAAGAGAGATTACGTTTACAAAAATTACAAAAAGTTTACGTTTTAAAATAATTAAAAAAAGTTTATTCTTTTATTCAAGATAAACGCACACACAAAGAAGCATTTGCAAAGAATACATTGATTAAGTATAAAAAGTTATTTATTTATTTGAAACTTGTTTTTCAAAACATAGTTTAATTCAATGTTGTAAAAGAAAAATTTTAATTCCTGTTTCTATTCAAATCAATTTGTCCTAAAAATTCTATTCACTCACCCCTTAGATTTTAAATTTTAAGTATAGTTTTATGTAATAATGTAATAATAATAATCTCTAGTTCCTTACATCTGAGATAAGATATGAGATTTAGTAAACTAGGAAAAATAAAGCATTAACAAAATTAAAGAATTAACAAATTTATCTGAAGAATATTTAAAAGCCGTTGAGTATTAGGTCTGTGTGTAATTGTTTGTCAAGAAATTATGTATAAAAAGTAACAAACAATTTACTAACGAAATAACTGTGAATGAATTTGTTAAAAAAAAAAAATTTTAATTGCATAAATAGTAGTCTTATTATTTCTTAGCAAAATAAAAAAATAAATATAATAATTTTTTTAAGAATGGTAGTGTTTGAAAGCATTGAAAAGCTTTTGGTCAAGCATGACCATTTATTTCAGGCATAAAGTCAATAAGGCAAATGATTGGGGGAAAAAGTTACAATATTAGTTTAAGCCAAGATACACTACACAATAGATACAAGGCACAATAGATATATTTACAAAAATGCATACAAAAAAGCATACATTTTTTTGTACGCATTTTTTTATCTTTTAAGTAAATTAAGTAACTAATTGTTTTTTTATTATAAGTCTGTTTTTTATAATAAATAAAAAACTATCAACTGCATAACTATTTGGAAAACAAATGTGATAAAAAACATATGTTAACTATGAGAGTCTCAGTGAACTTCACTATTTTTGTTGCAATAAATTTGTTTTTTCTGCAAAGATTTAGAAAAAACTGAAACAACTTTAAAAGCTTTAAATTAACAACAACAAAAAATAATTTAAGAGTACTCTTTAATCTTTCTTACTCAAGCAGCATATAAACAAGCAGCATACAAACAAGGAGCATACAAACATGTCGCCTAATGCCAAATGTTTGTATGCTTGAATGCCATTAGAATCAGTGCTATCAGAAACTTAATAAATTTTCTACAAAGTTTGAGCAGCTCAAACTCTGACTTTACTAGGTCTTAACTTAAACTTAAAAATAGCCAAAATTTTTTTATATGATAAATCTGCAGATAATTTGATGGGTTATGATCTTTAGCTATGAATTTAATGCCATTTCCTTGGTACCCATTTTTTGTTGCTTTAGCATAGAAACAGTTCAATAAATTATCTTCTAGGAAAATTAAAATCTTATAGGAAAATTATAAGATTGTTAATTAAAAGGCAGAAGACACTTTTCTAGGCACTCCTTTTTGTAGAGTTCGAGTTTCATTGCCTTTAAGGTTACAAATGGCCTGCATTTTTTGCCACAGCTGAAACAATTTGCTTACCAAGCCATAAATTTTCTGCCAAATCTTTCCAGATTTGTATATTTATATATTTATATATATATATATATATATATATATATATATATATATATATATATATATATATATATATATATATATATATATATATATATATATATATATATATATATATATATATATATATATATATATATATATATATATCTCTAAATATGAATACTGTAAAAATTCAATGTTCAATGTCGTTTCGCTTTCGTTTTTAAAGCAGTTTTAATTAGTTACTAGGCTTTAAACAGCGCGTTCTCAAAATGCACGTGGATATTAGAGGAAGATCTTTCAACCGAGTTAAAACTTTTTACCTTTAGAATTGAATTAATATTAAGATTAGTTTTGAAATATTACATAAAGAATCATATTAAGATAAATAATCATCGTTAAGATCATATTATAATAATCATCGTTAAGATCATATAAGCATTGAAAATAGTTTCGCAATTTATATATAATATTTTTTATTAAAAATAAAATAAAAAGGATCACTCCTTTTAATTTTTTAAATCGTTTACATTTTGTTTGTTTTAGTTTTTCTTTTGGCTTTATTTTTTTCTAGCAGTTTTCATTGAGCATATCTTCTATTTTTTAGAAGGAAGATAGAGGTAAGGATGAGGTCTAATTATTTTTTTATGCAACAAAAAAGTTATACTAATGCAACAAAAAAGTTATACTAATTTCAATAAAATTGGTTATTACTACCATGAAATTTCTGTAATGCTATCAACTGTTTTTGCTCTTTTTTAGAAAATTTAGAAAAATAAATTGAAATTTCGTGCCACTACTGACATGTCACATGTTATTGTATGTAAAGATTAAATTTTTGTTATGAGAACTACAGTTCTTATGAAAGAAAAAGGTAAAGAGTATTGTTTGTATATAAATATTTATATTTTGTTTACTTTAAATTTTTTTTAAATTTTTTCATGCCATTTTTAAAATTTTTGTTTGCACAATTCAAGTTATATGTTTATTGTTTGCATTGCTTTTTTGATAATTATGTGTATATTGTAAAATGTGCTTTATAGCTTTTTTATCAATGTGTTTTTATAATAATGTAACATGTTTTTTTATTGTTTGTGTATGTGTTAATATAAGTTATAATTGTTTTATAAAAGTGTATAAATATGTTTATATATGTTTTCAAAGTGCTGTGAATTGGTAAACGTGTTAAGCAAGATTTGTCAACCTTGCCAGCCAAGTCACTTACTGCAAAGGGTTACAAAGCAGTGTTTCGTTTCAAACTGTTACTGCTTTAGGTCTAGGTGTTTTCAAGCCTTTATTAATAATTACTCTGAAAATACATAATGTATTTTAATAAAATTTTGCGTAATGTTGTTTCTGATGTTCTGTTATATATGAATGTTATGTTTCTTAAGTTATGTTATATGCATATTATATGAACTTATGGTGAATGCTATTGTTGTTGTGATGTTGCTTTTTTGTAATCTTTTGAGTTGATATACATTTGGTTTACCTTCAAGTTGTTGTCTACTGTTAAAAATGATACATAGTTAATTTCATTATTAGACCTCACTGCATTTAATCATTCACTAAAATTAATATTTAGATTCACTAAAAGCCTACTACTACTCTGGTAAATCACATCAGCTTTATCAGGTACAATGATTTCATTTTTTTGTATGTAATTTTTTTCTTATTTACTTATTTGTTACATTTTTTATTTATCAAATGATGTATTTATGTGGTATAGAAGAACAAAATATTGTTAAGTTTAGTGAATTTTTTAAAAATTTTTACTAATATTTTTTTCAAATAAATAATATTGAAGTTTGCTTAAAAGGGTTTTACTACGTTGTTTTTTTTAATTTTTCTACATTAGGAGTTTTCATTTTATTATTTTTAATGCAAATATCTATTTTTTATTATATTATTATTTTTTCTTTAGATCTAAATTGGAGCAGCTACAGACTATATTGCTCCCAGCACCCAGGACCACTCTGAGAGGTCCTTTAACAAATGTTGCAGTAATAATGGTATGGAATAGCCCTCTTTCAAATGGAGGGCTCATCCATACAGGGGTGCTGGGTGGTACCAAGTAAAAAATAGCAACAAAATTTTTTTTAATATATTCAATCAGTGAAGATATTAACTTTTTTAATATTAATTTTTTTGTTGCTGTTTTTTCCTTGGTTTTTATTTTCATTAAAAAAATATATATATATTTTAAATTGTTTGTTTTTATTTTTTTAGTATTTGTTTAGATTATTATTTATAGTTTTTATTACTTTAATTTTTGATTCACAATATTACATGGCTATTATATTGCTTCGAATATATACCATATCAGTTAATCATTTTTGAAAAAATGTACTGCAGCAATTTATTAATTATAACAAAAATTACATTTAAATTTGTAATATTTTTAAGTTATAATTTTAAACTAATTAGTTGATTTCCAGCAGATTTTATTTCTTTTGATTGTTTTGAATTTATAATTTAGTGTTTATAGCTTTTAACTTATGTTAAGCTTTAATAAATTTAATCTTCTGATTTTAATGTGTAATAAATAATATAAAATATTGGAAAAAAGATTAAGTAATAAAAAAGCAGATAATTAATCTTTGATAAACTTTGTCATGTTGCTTATTATATTGTTGGCATTTCAGTGATGCTGTTAAATTTTTTTTTTTTTTTAGAATTTAGAAAAATGAATTAAACTACAACTTTTGAACAGTCATTGTTTGTGAAGGTTAAATTATTTGCATGTTTTTTATACAATTTTTTTATAGAAATAGTATTAAAGTTTACTAAAAGGGGTACTTTACTTTTTATTTTTTGTCTTCTTTTTTTTGTATTAACAGGACCCTTTATCATTAAATTTTTTATTATTATTATTATTTTATTACTATTGGTTAACTGTTTTATTTACATTATATTTATAAGTTTATTTTTTGTTTAAACATCTTTTAACGGGTATATTTAAAAAAATGTTTTTATAAAAAACTCACAATATTGTTGTATAATTTGGTTTATTTTAAATGAAAATTTCCTATGTAATGTTTTAAAAATTATTCTTTGTGTGTGTGCAATTTAGAGAAGTAAAAAAAAAATCACAATCTTCAAGATTCTTTTAAGATTTTTTGTTACTACTATCAATTAAAAGTGAAGTTTAAATGGATGATATAAGGCTAGAAGTGGCTATTAGTTTAGAAAATGATGGAAATGCTATTAAGCAAGTTGAAAATAATCGTCGCAGAAATGCAAGAAATGGGCTGAGGCGGGATGAAATTAATAATCAACACAATGCTAGATATGCTGCATGGCAAGCCACAAATAATTTAAATCAAAATGAGGACAGTGTGATTAGGCAAGTTGAAAATAGTCGTCACAGAAATGCAAGAAATAGGCTGAGGCAGGATGAAATTAATAATCAACCAAATGCTAGATATCCTGCTAGGCAAGCAGCATATACTTTGAACTGAAATAGGGAGAAAAAAGGGCAAGATAGATGTCACTATAATCTCCGTTCACATAATGAAGTTGCATTTTTTGGTGAAGATAGTGCTCCACCTACTTCCAGTGAAGTTGTTATTTTCCCAAGAGGTCATCCTCTTAAAATATATCAAGTATGTCTGCCAAATTAGAGCCTATGGTTTGTTCTTTATTTCTTCTAAGGGGTGATGCTGGTTGGCATAATCAATTGGTTTACAACCCTGAACGTGCTACATTGATTAAAAATCACGTTACATTATCTCAGTATTATAGTTATAGACTTTTAGTTGGACAATTAACCTAAACAAAAAAAATAGGTGAAGTGATTTTTAGTAACTTCAGATCACTTTGTTGTTATTTTTTTATTACTATTAGAAGGGTTAATAATAAAAGTTTTAAGGCAGTAGAACTGGTACTGATTTTAATAAGTTTGCTATATTTTTTTACTTAATATTTTCATTAGATTTAATAGGTTTTTTTAATTACTTTGGAGTAAAATATATTGAGTGATATTACTTCATTTTTTACACTTTTAGATTATGTATTGTTGTCTAGATTCTTTGTTAAATTACAATTTAATGATGTAAATAAATTTTTATTTTTATTTTTGATAGACAACTTTTATCGAAAAAATAAAAATTTAAGGAGGCGTGAACTTCCTATTAAATGCTTATCCACGGTGCTCTGTGATAAGACCTTGAGGACTTCGTGGAGCACTTAAAATAAAATTAAAAAAAAAGTTGTTAAAATATAAGAAATGCTGCTTGGCGAGCAGAAAACTTACTTGCCAGAATTCAATGTCAAGCGGTGTTAATGTGTGTTTATTTGATTTTATTTTAAACACTTTAAAACACTTTAAACCAAATAGTTTTAAATTTAAATGATTTTAAATTTTTTTATAAATTCAAACGTAATTATGTTCTTTTTTTTTTAGTTGCCTTTGTTATCACTTGATTAGTTTGCTTACTGTTGAAACATGGTTTTAATTTTGTAAATTTAATGATATGAAATTTACTCTATTAATCATTAGTTGACAGTTAAAGAGAAGCTGGAGCTTTACATAATAAAGGTAAAAATAATTTTGTTTACTCTTAGATAAGAGTTGAAAGAGAGTTAGTGCATGGAGCATCAATAAAACTTATATAATTACTTTTTAGTTTAAAAAAAAGTAATTATATAAGTTTTATTAATGCCACAATTGATAATGACCATGTATATAAAAAATTTTATGAGCTGCTTGGTATTTTATGATAAAATTGTTCAATATTGTAATCAATAAAATCTTTTTAGCTCAAGTATTTTAGTTGATAAAATATCTTAAGTTGTGGTGTTATACGTTATTACGTTATTTACTACGTTAAGTTGTCTAGCCTTTATATAATCTTTTCTTTTTTAATCATTTTGGAGAGACAGTAATGTGTGCTTACAAATATCTTATGCTATGCGCTATTGTTAATGTGTTTTGTGTTGATAGAACTGGGCTATTACAGCAATTTTTTTAAGTCGTTATATCTTCATTCTATCAACAATAAAATGCAAATAATACTTTGTAATTATTTTTCGTTCCTTTTTTTTAGGCATTATAAGGCTTTACTTGACTTTCTTTTTATGGTACCTGCTGTGTTGTAACAGATCTTAAAAAGAACTTTACGGATGTTAACGTAGTCTTTTTTGTTGGTAACCGTAAGCAATTATTTAATTACTAATAACCCGTATTACGGGTTGCTTACTGCTAGTATTGTATTAAAAGTGGAGCTACTGACAGCTATACATTTAATACAAATATAAAATAACTTTCTTTTAAACTTCTTTTTAAGTTATTAAAAAACTAATATATATATATATATATATATATATATATATATATATATATATATATATATATATATATATATATATATATATATATATATATATATATAAAACTAAAATATACTTGTTGCTTGTCATTTGGTGTGAATGGCAACTCTGTGGAAACATGAAACATGATTTCTCTTCCATGAAAATTTGTATACAAAGAATGTTGTCCTGTTGAATCATCTAAAATTTTGAACAAACCATAAACATTTTTATAATACTACAACTGAGAGTTCAAAGTTCAAAGTTATAATTTATTTCAATGGTATATACTAGTTAACAATTTTTGTATAAACAACAATATATAAAAAATATAGATAAAAATTGATTATAAATATCAAAAATTAGTTGTCATAATAATAATGTTATTTTAATATTCAATATATATTTAAAATGTGTTACTAATATATGATATTATTCATATGTATGAAAAATATCATATATATATATATATATATATATATATAATATATATAAATATGTTAATGATCAATGTTTGAAATTATATCTTACTTGCATTATCTAATTGGGCTCTGTAACCTTGGAAACCCTTTAAAGCCACTGTATCACCAATTATACTGCAGAATTCTAAAAACTCTGAACCAGCATGTTCTGAAAGGACATATATATTTATAAAAAAGTATTAGTATGAAAAATGACGACAATGAAACAATTTATGCAAACTGAAACCTACCATTATTATACATTTCTTCTTCAGTTGTTTGATTAGCTCTACAATAGAGCAACCCGACTTTATGTTTTAGCGATAGCTAAATAAATAAATATAACAGTTAATTCAAATTTAATTTTCATTGGTGTAATATTTAGTTTAAAGTAATTTCTTGCAGTTCTCACACTTCAACAATAAAGATTATAAATATGAATAAAAAAATGTTTGTAAAATCAAAAGGTTTTCAAAAACAAAGTTAATGTGAGCATTTATTTGACAACCAAAATTACCTAGATCCACATTGCTACAACTTTGCATATAACTCCTTGCTACAACTTGTTTTAAACTTTTTTATATTATGTTGACTAAACTAACCAACAATATGTTATATATTTAAAAGCAGAAGGTTTGTTTTTTAGGTAATTAACTAACATGTAATATATTTAAAACCAGAAGGTTTGTTTCTTAGCTAATTAACTAACAACATGTTATATTTTCAAAACCAGAAGGTTTGTTTTTTAGGAATACTCTTAAAACTCTTATTTAATGTTTAGTAAATTTTAAAATTTTTAATTAAATTTTCAAGAAAGCATCAATTGATATAAAAAACATGCAAATTTGTCATGTTTATTCACACTTATCAGTAGTATTTGTATTTATCAAAATTGTCAAATGAGATTTTATCTTTATCATTTAAACTTTCATACTTTTTTATTTCTAACAACAGCAACTTCCTTCCTTTTTACCTGTTTTTATGTAGTATGTGGAAATATGGAATGTGGTTTTGGCAATTTTGTCAGAGATATGATGGAACAGAATGTATGATTAGCAATTTAAATTATAACAATAAACTTTAAACAAAACATCAGATAATAAACATGAGTGCATCATTTATCTTTATTATCAGTTACTATCTATTATAATCATTATCAAATATTTATGATTCCAGAAAATATGAATTTATTAATTTACTTTCGAATTTATTTTCTGTAGAACATCATCGATGGTATTGATGAGGAGAATGAAATATTATTTCAATAAATACAAAAACATGTTTTTGATTTTCAATGCAGAAATATATTAAAACTATTTTAAACTTAAACAGTTTTAATATATTAAAACTATTGTAAAAACTATTTAAATTTGTTTTAATTAAATGTGAAAAATGACTCTTTCTACTGAAACTTTTATTAAAAAAGGTAGCCATAGCAAGTTATTTATAATACATTATAATATATATATATATATATATATATATATATATATATATATATATATATATATATATATATATATATATATATATATATATATATATATATATATATATATATATATATATATATATATATATATATATATATATGTATATATAATAACCCTAAGATCCTTTAATTTTGATATTTTTTCATATTTATAATATATTAATATAATAACCCTATATATAATATATATATATATATATATATATATACACTTACTAAAGCATGTTTTGATAAGCATTTGCTCACTTTTTCTGCTTACCATAAGCTATACCTTTTTTTTTTCGAAAAAGAAGAAAAAACGAAGAATGATGAATAAAACGATTGCTTCCTCATTCCAAACCCTTAATCAATGTAGTAGCACTCCACTGCGAGTCAGGCTATTTGTCAGTCGATGTATGTACTGAAACCCCCAGCAGCAGGCTATTTCAGTATGACGTCAGATATATACAACTCGTTTCTCCGCGCAGCGGCCTTGTTCGTCAAGGTTCGTGTTTCGGAGTTATAGAGTTGAGAGAGGGTTATAGCCACGAATAAGTAGCCTCCTCGTCTGTAGTGGCCTTCTCGGCCTTGAGGAGATGAATTAAAATAAAATATATATATATATATATATATATATATATATATATATATATATATATATATATATATATATATATATGTATATATATATATATATATATATATATATATATATATATATATATATATATATATATATATATATATATAAATAACCCTAAGATCCTTTCATTTTGAGACCTTAGTGTTATGTAAAAAGTTACTCAACATAAAAAACGCTTAAAAATAGTATATAACAAGTTAACGTTAGAAGAAATTTTTTTTTTGACTATTTTGCATATGGGTCATTTTTTAATAAAGCTCCAAAAAAAAGGTTTTTATTCAGTTTTATAAAAATTATTCTGAAAAATTATTTAACTCGATTGGACTATTAGAGATGCATAATGTATAGATGAGTTTTTTCCTGGAATTTCCAGAATTACGGAAATTCGCTATACTTTCCTTTCAAGTTTCCAAAAATTTCTGAGTATTTTTTGCTAATGATTAGTTAAAAAATTACAAAGTTATAAATTAAAAACTCTTTATATTTGGATTAACAGTTTTTAGTAACTGATAATTTACAATACATCTGTTATTACATTGGTTCAGACTATTTAACAAGCTTCTAATAAGATAATTTTACTTTGTTTTGTATAATTAAACAATTTTATTATTTATATTTTTCTGTTGTAGGTGCGAAACAGTAAACATGAGAATTTGTAATTATTGAAACTTTGAAAAAACTTTTGTTTTGAATTATTTGTAAAGATTTATCATAACTCTTTAGGAAATCAGGCTACTGTGATACATAAAACATCAGACTACTGTGATACATGAAAAATCAGGCTACTGTGATACATGAAAAATCAGGCTACTGTGATACATGAAACATCAGGCTACTGTGATACATGAAACACCAGGCTACTGTGATACATGAAACACCAGGTTACTGTGATACATGAAACATCAGGCTACTGTGATGCATGAAAATTAAACTAAATTTATTATGTATTGTGAACTATTGACTATTTTTTAAAAAAAATTTTCATGTTGTTTTACTCTTATTATTAAGTTTCATCTTAATTTGTACAGCCAGTGTGCTTAGTTACTATTGTCAGTGTGCTTAGTTACTATTGTCAGTATGCTTAGCAGGGTTGGCAAAAAAACCCAACCCAAAAAACCCAAAAAAACCCAAAAATATATTTGGGTTTTTTTAAAAAATGTCCTATTTTACAACTGATAACTCTGATTTTAACACTTATAAATGCTTTATTATCAGCAAGTGCAACCTTTATACTGTAATTACTCTTGTAAACACTGTATTTATATACATAATGGTATTTAGAATATATCCAAAACCAATCAATCTGTTTTTGTAGCAAGTTGGTTATTTATTATTTTTTTAAAACATATAGCAAGTTATTATAAATGTTATTGAAATATGTATTAAAACATTAAATTAGTTAAATACTTATAAAGGAAATAAAAATCATTCTCTTAACTAAATTTCAAAACATTACTAGTTATTTAGTATCTTTATTCTCCTCTTGAATGTCTATATTTCCAAACAAGTGTTTTATATATGTCATTTTATATTAGTATTTGATCTTTTATTTTTTAAAGCTTATGTTGTAAACTGCAAATTTCAGCACAAAGCCACAAGCAAAATACTAAATATAAAAATTATTAAACTTTATTTACAGTTTAGAAATGGAAAGTTGTCAGGCAAAAAAAAAAAAAAGCTACAGTTTACTAGATTTGTCCTTATTAAGTGCATACAACTTTAAAACTTAAAAAAAATTAAGTTATGTGCAAGCAAGTTTGCAACATGTTTGCTCATTCAATGAGTTAACATGTTGAAAACTTGTATGCATTTTACAAGGACAAGATTTGTTGGTAAAAATGATACTCGTGCTTATATGCCTTTTGACATGTTTTGAATATTTTGCATCAGCTACAAGTTTACAACATGTAACCATCAACAGGGGTGACTATGAAAAGCGGGTTGAAAATGAACATCATTATCAAGTTGCTAAAAGGTGAAGAAACACACACAATAGAGCTATATAATGTGTTACTTTGATTCAGTTGCAAAACTGAGCCGGTAAAACATCTTCAAGTAAAAAAAAGTAAAAAACTTTGGTTGTCCTTAAAATATCTAAAATGAATTTGTTAAGAACCATTACAGTGTCTTTGCCATTATTATTATCTTCGCCATATTGTATGAGTACAATATTTTTTTTTTTAATTTCATAAATTCACCTTCCTATTGCTCCAATGACCACTTCAGTCAAGGGAGCAACTCATTTTTTAAAAATATTTTGTCTCAATCCTTAACATTACCATTTTTACTAACAAACAACATTAACTAAAATTTTTAAACAAAAGAACTGTGGGGAGAAATAGATTGAGCACAGTAATTTCAGCAGATGTAATTTGAACCCCAACCTTCTGGTTGCGAGCAAAATGTTTTACTACTAGTCTACTAGCACATTTTACCTATTGTGCAAAAAGGGACTCCATCAACTAAAAATGATGTTAATTAATTGCACTAAATTAAAAACATGTTCAGAATATTTTTGACTAAAAAAAAATCACAATAAAAATTATTATGACAATTGAGTTATTCAAAGTTGGTAAGACAATAAATGTTGCAAACTAATTTTTTTTACTAACAAGTTCAACATATCATTTCAAAAACTATTTTGCACAAGTATACAATATGTAATCAACAAGTTTGCAACATGATGTTGCAAACTTGTAAGTTAATATCAATCAGGATGACTATGAATACTTTTTAAACATTTTTGAATCATAGAAGAAAACTGTTAGCCTAATCACTACATTTTTTTTTATCAGAACATTATACTGTCCAGCTTCCTGGAAGTTATCGGCCTGATCAACTGGACTTATGCAAAAAATGGATTTTTGCCTAAACTTCGGTTGTATTTAAAATATTTAAATCATAACTATTTTTGAAATTTTTATAAAGTTTTGCTTCTTTTGAGACCCAACATGACATACATTTGAAAATTTTTTTTTCCTTCTGTTTAGGGTCTCATCGCAAGTTTCAGATTTGAGGTGGTCCCCCTAAATCTCATTCAATTTTGAAAAAATTTGACAGAGTGTCTTGTGAGTACCAATAGAAAGTTTTAAGAATAGGGGCAGATCAATTTTTGAAAGTATGGGGCGTTTAATGCACCCTAACTCTACAATTATAAAAATTTGGTATTTTAAAACTACAATTATAAAAATTTGGTATTTTGATTGGTTTTTA